CAACAATAAACTGAAACACCCTGTATATACAGGGTGACTTCGAAGTTGAGTCATTTATTTTAACAGTGAGTAGATGTGATCAAGAGAAATGTTTTTTTCCTTTAACATTTTTCTGGTAAAATTAAAGTAACAAAGTTATAGCCCTTTAGAAGTTTGAGTACCGCCCTGTCTCAATAATAATATTATGTGCTCGTGTTTGGAGACAACGGATATAATCCGCGTTATCGGTTCATCGCATCGGAAACAAAAAAGCGAAAGAATTTGAAACGTTTATCACGATGTTTTTCGTCAGTCAGCGTGAGTGAATAGTGGTGTTTGTTGCGTGGCTCAAACGAAATAAAAAATGGCACATGTTTACCAAAATGCTGAACTTGTGGACATGATTCTTAGTTACAGGGAGTCTTTACAAAATGCTGCCGCGGCATCACGGATTTGTGCGAATCGGTTTCCCAATCGAGTGCAACCAATCCCTCGTGCCTTTGTTAATATAGTACAAAGGGCTCGTGAATCAGGAGACTTAAGACCTTACAGGGGAGGGTCTGCCGGTGCTCCAAAACCGCACGATCAAATACAGGTCCGCACTAAAATACTTGTCGGGAGGATACTTTACAAAACAAGGTAACATTTTTTTTAATGTTTTTTTATTTTTACACACATATTTTGGTTTATCTTCCTTCTACAATCATTATCTGAAAATTAATGACTCAACTTCAAAGTCACCCTGTATATATATGTGTGTGTGTGTATACATGTGTATACAGGGTGACTTTGAAGTTGAGTGATTAATTTTCAGATAATGATTGTGGAAGGAAGATAAACCAAAATATGTGTGTAAAAATAAAAAAAATATTAGCTTGTTTTATAAAGTATCCTCCCGACAAGTATTTCAGTGCGGACCTGTATTTGATCGTGAGGTCTTGGAGCACCGACATGCCGTCCCCTGTGAGGTCTTAAGTCACCTGATTCACGAGCCCGTTGTACTACATTAACAAAGGCACGAGGGGTTGGTTGCACTCGATTGGGAAACCGATCCGCATAAACATGTGCCATTTTTGATTTCGTTTGAGCCACGCAACAGACACCACTATTCACTCACGCGTTACCGACTGACACTGACTGTATACAGCTGAATAAAATAATTGTAAAAACATCGTTCCAAATTCTTTCGCTTTTTTGTTTCCGATGCGATGAACCGATAAGGCGGATTATACCTGTTGTTGCCAAACACGAGCACATAATATTATTATTGAGACAGGGCGGTAATCAAACTTACAAAGGGCTATAACTTTGTTACTTTAATTTTACCAGAAAAATGGTAAAGGAAAAAAATATTTCTTTTGATCAGATCTACTCACTGTTAAAATAAATGACTCAACTTCGAAGTATATGGTACCATTTTGTTTTGATTTCACTAATTTCCTGTGATTGGGTGTATACCTGTTGGAAATAAATTTATTATTATTATTATTAGATATGAAGATGTTCAAAATGCAACTGGTTCCTTGAAATACGTTTTTAAAAACGGTTCCATAATAGGAATTTTTCCAGTATGCAACATTTTATTACTTCATAAATGTTTCATGCCCAACATATTAACATCCGATTTCTGGATTATGTACAAAAAAAGACGAATGATTGATAAGACGATAGCCGATATATCGGCCTTTGAAGTATCCGTGTCGGCTGATTATCCGTATTGTCAAAGGACTCTAATAAAAAAGACTGGTCGAATAAAATGAAAACTGGGATTGAATGACGGTGCAAACTTGTTAAGAACATTCAATGGCATATTTGTGTGTTAAAACAGAGTAACACAGTAACAGAGTAATACAGTAACATAGTAACACAAATAAGGCACTGGATAGCGGCTTTAGATTCACCGTCGCCCCGACAGCGACAGTAGGCAGTAGCGAGAGTTTCTGATTTCTATTTCATCACTCTAATGCGGCAAAACTGTCATTTGCAGTTGGTCCTTGGAAAATTCCAACTTAGAGTGCCAAACTGTAAGCAATAAATCGTAACTTTTATAAGCTATTCTTGATTTGACCTGTTTGTGTGTATGTGTGGGACAAATCTTAACTTAACTGAATTTTGAACCATTTAATGAAATGAATTAACTGTTGCCATTTTGCATCCAATATAGAGGATGCTACAAAATGGGGATTCATAATTTCCATATTATGATATTGGTATCAAATGTATGGGCTTGATGAGAGAAAAACAATAAAGAAAGTGACGTCATTCTTAACCAAATATGGCGGCCGCAGATTAATGGCGATTTATAATTTCCATCGTCACCGCTGTTATATGGGTATCAAATGAAAGGATTTGATGAGAAAAATACAATTAGCAGATATTTCATCGAAATTCCATATGGCAATACCCGCAAAATATCGATTTATCATCATATGATTTATGTCTATCAAAATTTTATAATACCAAGGTTTTATGGAGTCCTATTAATGTAATACTATATGAAAATTATTACATAGAAATTACCAAACTACTGATTTGACATCATAAATACTGAAACGTAAGAAATAAAGAAAATAAAAAATACATTTTCATAAACAAGCTTTTTTATTTAACTGTTAACAAAGTGAACTAAAAATTTAAAATTGATTTTTCCGATTGGTAATATTTAAAAAATAATAAGCCCCTTCATCTCAAGTTTTCAAATAAAAGCGTATTACATTTTGACAGCAAGATGGAAAAGAGGTGTATTAGGTACGCTTTTATTTGAAAACTTGAGATGAAGGATCGTTTAAATATTTCCAATTGAAAAAAATTGGTTTGAAATTTTAAGTCCACTTCATTAACAGCTAAATAAAAGCCTGTTTTATCAAATGTATTTTATTAATTCAGCGTCCTGTAGTTATTTGAGTAAGCGCGCGAAATTTCAAAATGGAAAAATTCATTTACCGGCGCTCATGCTCCTACTATCGCATCCAACACGATATACTATTTCTGGGTCCACGACACGCCAACTTGCGCTCGCCAATCGCTATTCACTTCGCTGGTTCGCTCGTGGTGTTTGTCACTAGCTGCAAGAAACACCGTAACATTCCTTCTGCAATCTTCCAGAATATGGCGAAATTCATAGTTTTATTGGCATGCGTTGGACTGTTCCAGGCAGGTAAGTTGCGTAAACAAGCTCTCCCTGATGTTCCAAGGATTTGCTAAATTACTTGCGAATAGCGAATGCAAACTAATTTTTTTAACTGATTCTCATAATGATAATACATAGTTGCACACATTGATTGTACTAAATTGTTTACAACATATTAGTTTTATGAAATTTTGCATGCAGGGCAACGGTTAAAAGTGGGTGTATCGATTTTTATCGCCTGCAAAGTAACTGTAAGTTAAGTTACTCATTTTTTACCAGAGATTCTAACTTTTTTTTAACGATCTGTACTCTTTTTTAGTTGAAACATCCGGTTTTTGACCTGGTTCTCGGTGATAGTTGGAATGTTTGTCCGACCAATTTCAATTCACTTAGTCCATGAAGTATTAGTAAAGTAGTAGAAAAACTCTTAACTAAATATGGAGTATTAAGGTTGATTCTCACTATACATTCCGTTTCGATTCCCTAACCGCTTATGCACATTATCCGTAAGGTATACTGGGTATACAATCACATTGTACGGAACGTTTACGAAACTGATATGGAATGGAAATGGAATGTATAGTGAGAATCAACCTTTAATCTTCATCAGAAAATGTATTACACTTTGTTTTTATTATTAAACTGTACCTAAGAGTATCAACAATTGAACATTTGTGCAAAATATTGTCAGTATTCAAATAATTGCTGTTGAATATTTGTAAACCGTGGGGTGGTAAAACCTACTGGATCCGTCACTCAGTTTGATGTGCAGTGCATTTTGGTCTTTACGTCGAAACAGCCCACTTAGATTTAGATTATAATACGATACCAACGTCTTTCCAAATGTTTGAATCCCTCATTTATCTGCTTTGTTTGCTGCATGGAAAATAGCTACTTGCACAGTCTCTAGAAGAACCTGGTTTTATAACATTTATATACAGGTCCTACAAATGTTATCCTATATTTAGAGGTCACCTTTCTCAAAAAATTGTTATAACCTATATTGTAGTTCGGTATTTTTTTAAAACACTTAGTGTCGAATAATAATTATTTTTTATTGACAACGCAGCATCTATTTAACAACAACCTGTTTTGCTTGGCATGGTAATTCGTTGCTTTAATTTTATCACTTAGGGCTTTAATATATTTTTTTCAAGTAGACGTTATTGATTTTCTAGAATTGATTATACTAATAAATAAAACGAGTAAGTATGACCTACACTTTTGCATTAACGTTAATTTCACTCTTGAACTGCTGAGTTTAATTATGTATTAAATAAAGTTGTTTACGAATCTGTTGAACCGTTTACGGTATTTTAATTGCTCTGAATCTCAAATGACAGGCAACACTTATCAGGTAATTATTATTGAGAGTCGTCTTCAATACGCTGAGATAATTGACTTGAAAAATCATTGAGACTGCAACAAAGACAAACAGATTACAGATTATAGGGAATCTATCGATATATCAATTGAAACAATACAAATAGTCTTTTGAGTTGCTAGTGATTGAAAACGAACTATTTTAAGACCACTTCATTCAGAAAAAATTACCAAAGTAACTATTTTTTAATAAGAAGCAGATGTGACGTGGCTTAACGTACAAAAGGTTTTGGTTTATCCGTCGTGGACTGCCAGACTTTAGAACATTCTGTATTGAGTTACAACCAACACCATTCCAGCATGGCTGTTCGTGAGTTTTTGATAGAAGCGTAAGTGATCAATAAATAGTTCCTGAACGAGCTCTTCTATGACCAATTTCCAGCCTTCAGTTCCTTTCTGTATGTGGTCATTGGGTTGTTAGTCTACACTATTCCGGTGAAAAAATTAACATGCTTACATAAAATCGGTCAATAAGACGCGACCCTGGTGTATTATGAAGTGTTCGGCAATCTATGAGGAGGAAATGAAGTCTTGAATTCTTCATTCTACGAGTAACTTGACATTATGAACAGTTTTAGAACATTGGAAACCTTCACGTGTGATTTTAGTTAGTAAAAAACCTATTTTGAAAACTTAGGTCGCCCTGGATGTTTTAGACGAAATACTTCTTCAAAAATGTATACAAGACAAAATAGTTCATTATTAATGTAGCATTATTTTTAATTATTGTCACAATTTTTGTTTAATATGACAAGAGGGCGTCGCACTCTTTTAAAATTGGAAATTTTTCTTGGCACTTTACGGAGATCCCAGCATTTATTCGTTGTCAAGGAAATATATAAATAGAATAACCTTTCAATGCTTCGGCGGTAGCTAAATGTATACGCCAATGTCTATTATAAAGCGCAATCAGGTTTTTTCTACCAAGTCACGTAAAACTACGTCACAGAAATGCAATACTACTGTTTATTGGCCAGGAGAAATTTCATTGCTTATGTTTATAAACGAGGTTGATTCTTTTGAAACTGCATAAGAAATGGAAAGTGGGAGGTGGATGTAAATAATAGGTTTTCCACTACTAAACTGATAAATCGCCATTAATTACCGCATTCCTAAAAAGAGAAGTTACTTTTCTCTCCCTTGGTAAATGATGATAATGAAGAAATCTTTAAGTACATAATAAATCACCCTTTTTTCATTTTTGTATATCACTATTTTATAATTGAAACTATTGTTGTTGATTGTGTTTATTTATTCCACTATTTTGACTTCTTGCCCATGTTACTTTTTAAATTGGAGTATATCAAAATAAGGCAGCGCGACTTTTTTACGTACCGTTCTGTGATGCAGCAGACACTGCGTGATTTTTATTCTATTGCATGTTGCCAGATGTTCGGAAGGTCACAATTGTTATCTGCCAATAATGGCAGACTTCACCAAGGTATGAATTATTACTTTTCGGTGCTACATTAGAAGTACTACAATCAACTGCGTTTAATGTACTGTGTACTTTCGTTTCATACATTATCACAATAAAATTATTTATATTTAGTGTTTGTATGTCCACTTATCACTCGTGTTCTGTCAAAAATGCAGTGACGTAGGTTGACTTGGTGCTCTCATCTCTCACCGCGCGCCAATATAAATGGTAGATATGGTGAGATGTTGTGTTAATTTAGTTAGTTACAAATTGCGATGGAATCTGAACTACACATGCTAGTGATCTGCTAATAAAAAATCCTTCGCTATTCTCTAGCATACACGGGTAAGATATCGCGAACACCTCGGGATATGCACCTTTAAAACACTAATCAACAGCTGTGGGAAATGATTATTATATTTTGTATTTTTTGTCAGATCATGAATAGGAAATAGAAAATTTCCAAAACACAAGAACACTTTGAATCAAAATGTGCAATTCTGTTAGAGGAAAATGCGAAAATATAAGATGAAAAACAGTAAAACTTATATCTAATACACAAACATACTGGTATTTTTCCCTCAAATAGCAAGGGCAAGAACGATTGGTTTTTTACAGACTGTATGAAAATCAATTTTTTAGTTTAGACTTGAACGTATCATACGGTGGAGTTGCTTTATAGCCAAGTGGTATTTGGCTGTATGGCTTAGGACCTACAAAATTTAGTGACCGTTATAGTAGTTAAATTCATTCTGGTGACGCGACTGGGGACATTTTATGTCTTGTATTATAAATGTGCTCAATAACTGTTTTCAGGTTTGTATAGATGAAGAAGGATATGTAAGCAGCAAAAAATTAAAATGTACTTTTTGAATATATAAATTTTTTTCCCAATCGATAATGCTAACCCGCAGTAAAGATTGCACATGGGCGAAATACGTTATGAAAAGGTATTCAGTACATAGAAAATGCTTGAAGTACGTGAACTTTGGAATGTGAAATCCTATTTTTTCACTAAGTAGTTAAAATGTTCGTGCCATTTCAGATGCCAAAATATGTAGCTAGGTTTCTTTTATCTACAGTTTGAAAGATCAGAACCCTTTTAATTGGTATAGGACCTTTTCTATTTTGGAAATTGCTCAAAAAACGATTCTTATAGATGGCTGTGAATTTTTTTATTAAGAATAAACGAGGATTATTACAACATCTTTTTCGATGATATTCTTCAGATAATTCCAAGATTCTTTTAAGTAAAACAATATCATTTGCAAAACTAGTTTATTTAAAGTGAATTTGTCATTCATATACATATGAAGCCAAAAATGCGTCCAGTGTCGATAAACGTTTCCCTGTGGAATGAAGTCGCCACGAAGCATGATGTAAATCGATTTCTGGCTTATTCAGGGCAGTCAGGCTCCAGAAAGTCTGGATATGGGGGACATTGCTGTTCTTATTTGCACCTTGACCCAGTTGAGCTATGTACAGACTGCGAAAATCAAAAGCTTGCCAATTTTGGCTTAACGAACAAGCTTAAAAATCGCTTCAAAATAAACTAATCTTAAAATTCATCTCGGGGACTTGTAGAGCAAGGTTTTATCTTTAATTTAGATACTTGATTATCTGAAAAGTTATAATTTTTAACCGAAGTCTCAAACATTGAATATATCCAGGGTTTTTTCAACATTAAATCGCTTATAACTCGAAGCGGAACGAAAAAGCTACTAGAGACCTTTTTTGTATAGCATGATTCAAAAAATCTGAAAAAAATGTCCGATCCAATACTTGATACAAGTTACCGAGCAGCTACCACTTGTTTCATGTTAAGGGGCATCTAACAAACGTGATTATACAAAAAAATCAATCAAATGATTTGTGTGAATGAATTGTAGCTACCATGCATTTAAACTCACCTACTATATTCTGGCAACGACTCACTACCACTACTCCCAAATTACAAACATTTTTTTTCGCATGCACATTTTATCAGGTTATTTGGATCATTATGAACAAAAAAGGCTTCCAGAAACTTTTATCTAAAGTTGTCGGATTTTGATTTAGAAGCCATATGATGTCTGGAAAAAGCTTAAAAAGGATGTATTTACTGATTGAAAGCCTTGTTAAAAATTATCAAAATTTCATTTTCGCAGAGTGCACTCGATAACAATAACCAGATAAGCTAACACACCAACCTTAAATGAGCGCAAATATAATTAAAGGTCTTCCCGAGGTCGCTCAAAATAATTATAAAATGCTTTTTTGTGGCTATTACTCGTATTATACTTCGCATGGAATGGGGTGCTAACTTACTAGGATCGTTTGTCATTAATTGCATGTATGCATGGAAACAATCGTGGGCAAATCAGCAATAAAAGGAGAGGAGCACAAATAGTAGGATTGGTAAGCAGAGAGACGTACATCTCTGCTTAGTTGCTTCATCAGGCCCAAATGGATATGCATCGAAAACATCGAACTGAAAAGAAATGCCTATCACATCTGGATACGGGTGTAACTTGAATAAAAACAAGGATGGAAAGGGAAATATAACTAGAAGCCACCAATAATAGCCAGCAGGCATATTTTTGGCTTCGGCCATAAGACCTCGTGTTCACCAGGTATAGCTACCTGCCGTGGCAAGCCCATGAGTAAATACAAAGAAAGACAAGTAGTCGGACATGCTTACGATTTTCCTTTATTTTTCATCTAAGTTTCCGCAAGACCGTTTGTCGTTCTTTGTATTTACTCATGGGCTTGAGGTACCATGGCGACGATGGTTGACACCTAAACACAAGGTGGTCTGACCGAAGACACAAATGAGTCTGCTATTTTTGCTCCTGTTCCTTTATTGCGAACATGCTCATGATAGTCCTTTGTTTTTCATCATCAGGTTTCCTCAAGACTCCTTGTCTTTCTCTGAAAACACAATAAGAGACAAGATCATGGGGCTTGGACTTTTACATTTTAATTAGGAATAACATTACGGTACAAACGCGGAAGGCAAAAGTGCTTCAAGTAGCTACTTCGTACAGCCTGTTCCGCAACCGATGCGAGAGCGTCAGGTGCATCTTTGACGATCCTCAACATGTTGGGGCACATGTGCCCGATCAGGTGCATTTCCATTCGAAAAAGCTGCTGGCACATGCTGAGCAAGGTGCGCGAGGTACATATGCCTGCTTGTTTAAGTGGAAACGTACCTTGCTTATTATGGAGCTTCTTATTGGGCAATATTTTTACTATATCATCCAGCTGCGAGTGTCTCCAGCAACATATTACAACATCGTTAGGCTTGGATTCATTGCTACACATGTTTGACATTTCCGACCTATTTTCATATCGGAAACCTACTTAGTGTAAGTAATGTAAGCTGCTGCGATGCGTACAACAAATGTGGATTCGAGCAGAAACCAGGATAGGTAACCCGAGTGATACGTATTTCTGCTGGTTGGCTCCATCAGGCCCGAAATGAATGCATCGTGTGTCGATTTTTTTCCCTCTCCATCTTCGTTTCCTCAGTTTACACCCGTATCTGGATGTGTGGGCATGTGTATCTACATTTTTTAGTCGCATATATGTGCATTCATTTCGGGCCTGATGAAGCCAACCAGCAGAAATACGTATCGCTCGGCTTACCTATCCTATTTTCTGCTCGTATCCACTCTTCTCATTCTTGCGGATTTTGCCCATTGTTTTCCTACTTATTGTTATATATATACAGGGTGACCCATCCATGTGTGGACGGAACATTACTCATAAATAAAAACATTTTGGAAAAATCTATTTATAGCACATTATACACGACATTTGAGGGCATATTTCTGAAATATTGGCAATTATACAAGGTGTCTCAATTTTGACCTACATATCAAAGTTGTGATTTTTTAAGTAGATTGCCTCAAATTTTATTGCATATTTGGTTAAAAAAATTCCAAAGAGGAAAACTTATATAACCATACTATGGAGTTTTGGTAATTAGCTACTGAGATGTAAGGTGTTTTGTCCAGAAAAACCGTCCACTTCGTCAACCCCTCAATCCGCCATTTTGAAATTTGGAGTGGAGAATTTTTTATAAAAAAAACTTACACACATCCGCTTTTATCGTATTTGTTACTTTTTCGAATTTTCATTTTTGCTCATACAGGGTGGTCAAAAACGCGAATTGTACTTTTTCTCAAAAATTTCAAATGCATCACCCTGTATAGTTGTATAAGTTTGGATTCGATTTTTTACAAGCTTTTGTGGTATAAGGTTTGCTTCAGATAAAATCACTAGATTTTGAGTTATTAAGCTTTTAATAGAACAGCACATCAAAATTAAGGAAAAAAATCATATCATCCATGGAAACAAAAGACAAACAGTGGGCTAGTTCCATATTGCCACTAAGAGTACAGATTTGACGTAAAAACTAATAACAATCAGAACAGTAAAAATCAGCTTCAAGCGTAATAGAGAAAAACAACTATAACAACAACATAAACAAACAACTATTACTACTCAGGACCTAATCTACAAAAACTGCTCGAAAATATCTCCACCATGTTGAATACACAGCCGTAGTCTTTGGATAAATGACCGTTGCACATCCCGCAGCATGTGTTCCCTTATGTTCAGAAAAGCATCCTTAATCCTTTCCTTTATGTTTTCCGGGGTAGATGGTGGATATCTATAAACCTCTTGCTCAACGTAGCCACATAGAAAGAAGTCCACCGGTGTCATATCTGGTGCTCTAGGAGGCCAAGATATAGGCCCATCACGACCGATCCAACGATTGTTACTCCAGGTGTCCAAATAGTTACGCACACGATGATGATAACGCGCAGGTGAACCGTCATGTATAATGGCCAACACTTTAGAAATGTGCCCTCAAATGTCATGTATAACATCCCATAAATAGATTTTCCCAAAATGAATTTGTTTATGAGTAATATTCCGTCCACACGTGGATGGGCCACCCTGTATATGCTGAGCATCAATTCTACTTTACACAAAGCTCCAAAATGTTTATAGAATAGTTGCACCAAATATTTGTAGCACCATAATGCTGGATTCTAGTTAGTATTTTGAAATTCGAGATTTTTTTCTACTATCTGCGGTCAAAATTAATGCATACAAATTGCATATAAAAAATAAGCAATTAAATTACAATGTAGAAGGTCGCCGAAGTCGAAACACCGGAACAAATGGAACAATGTAATGAACGAGCTTAGACGAGACCAATTTCTTTATGGGCCTTCGTTTGCACGGCAGTTTTTTTGCAATTCGATTTAGATCCTTACTCATTATGGGTTTGTATTATAATTATTATTTCTAATCCATTTCATCCTCAAAGCTCGGTTGTCGGAAGCACGCAATAAGCAAGTGCAAAGGTGAATCGAAGGCTCTCGTGTCAACTCATTGATTAACGTATTCCACCTGACATTTATCTGAAATGACCTTTATCATTATTAGGGTCGATGTGAAATTATTAGTTCAGTGTTCTGTCATTACTTGTTAGAGAGTGAAGTCAATTAATAAATCTACACAAAAGGAATACTTTAAAAACCATACACTGTATTGGATTATGTGCTTTATCTCTCGGATTTATGCAACCACAGAACACCCCCCCGCCTATGGCAAGAAAATGAGAGCACAAAAATATCCGAAATTTGATTACTGAAGCATTAAAAAATTGAAATTTATGTAAAGCTTGTAAATTAAAGTTGTTTCGGATATCAACGATCTAAATAACTTTCGAGAAATGTCGCATAATCGGATGAAATTTTGGTATTACGATACATCTTTCGACTACCTCAAAAATATAAAGAACAATGAAAGCAACGGTTGCAACCTGCTAGGTCGATGTCAATTCACCTAAAAGGCTGTGAAAAATAATATAAGTCTAACTTTTAAGCACAACCGGTAGTGTGCATAAGCTCTCAATTTATATAAGTGGTACGACAGCTGATGTAACTTGCACCCTATTTAACCAAAAAGTAACATTCGTCCTGCCTTAAGATAATTTTCGTACTATCAGTACAATGTTTATGTTCAAATCGCTGAACTCATTAAGGTCCGATCCAAGTGGGGATGTCAGACTGAAGGTTTTACTACGTTTAGCTACTTCTTATTATTATGAACACTAACACCTACCGATAATTTTGTTGTTTTCTAACAATATATATTTTTTTCAGCGTACGGTCTGCAATGTTATTCGTGTTCAGGAGACAACTGCAACGATCACAGTAAAATGGAGGAATGGAAAAAAGTAACATGCGGAAAAAGCACCGATCCCAAACAGGAGCCGGCTTGCGTGAAACACGCCTACAAAGGTAAGCACCTCTTCGGTCCATCATGATTGAGCTAAGGGGTCATCCTAGATTAAACTTGTGAAGGTGATTATATTGAATGGCTCAGTAAAATGTCGCTCGTTAATGATATACAGGTTGTCGAAGTTTAATTCGTGAAATATTTATTGCTCTAGAGCTTAAACTATTTTTGTGATTGGGAATTTCAATCCTAACTGTATAATGATATCATATAATATCGAAAGCAGCAATCCATTTTCGTCTATCGAAATATGACACCGGAATAAGCAGCACAGAGCGCAATAAGCAGCGCGCAATAAGCAGCGCGCAAAGTCCATTTTCATATATGTAATGATTGTAACGTTGTCTTAAAAATTCCCCACAATCCAAATGATCCTTTTCACAATGCAGGAGATAATGATTATTCATTTTTCAAGATTAGTCTTCCGTAACTGGACCGATTCTCTAAAAAAGTAATATTTTTTGTTCTCGTTAAAGTTGTAACGAGAGTTTTGAACTTCGAAGGGCGTATTGTCGTAATCATGTAAAAGTTACCTTGCTAGACCTGTGATTGTAGGTAGTACAAAAATAGTTCCTAATTTAAAGGACATCGAAAAATATTAACATTTATGGATCCGGGAATTCATTGTCATATTGATAAATGTTATTTATATTTTTGTTTTATGTTATGCGTAACCCTGTTATCTGTTTGGAACGTTCGCATTATGATACGGTTATTGTAGATGATAACAAAAGGGAACATTAGTAAATATCAGGCTAAGTAAATTTCCATCCTAATTACTCATAAAATTATGGGGTACTCGTGATACAAAAAAGTCGTATATACGGTAAATGGTTAAATGATTGTGTTGTTCAATATTTTTGTAAGTATAATAACCGTGCTGAGTATGTATTCAGGAAGCTCGTTTTTATACTCACGCTACATGTACTTATGCAGGGTTTTCACCCAAGGTGGAATATTCAAGGGAGTGATTATTGGGTTTCTTTAAAGAAAAAAGCTTTGATACGAACGGATACCTTCAACGTTTTAAGTTTTGAGGTACAGGCTAGTGAAGTTTTGGATTTGACCTGTAGTTTTAGACAAAAATTAGTATACCACTGCCTTTTCTCACAACAAGAATTATTTATGTAATACTGAATCACTCCTCCAACTCAAATTTCATATTGATCGATCCATCGATTGCGCTTAAATATTTAATGTATCTTAAACTTTCGTAAAGGTTTTAGTACTGTTCAAAATCTTTCGCAGTTTTGGTGCCTTTGTAGAAAAATTCGTCAATTTTTTAATATTCAACTTGCTATTTTAGATTGGCGCACTTTCGCACAATTTTCAACTTCCAATTTATTGTAAAACACATTAATCTATAATAAAACACATTAACACACAAAAAGTATATGTTCTTATTGTGAGCACAGTAGAGCAACACTTTCATTACATGTATGCTGTATCCTGTATCTTAGAGTGTTTTTTTTATTATAGTTTTCAAGTAAAAAGTGTTGCAAAAACATTGATGTAGCATATGCTTCAGAGTGGTTTCCTTCAGTAGACGTTGGAATAACATCTGCAATATTCTTTGAAGATAAATAAAGCAAATATATCGCGAATAATAATACTTAGAACTATAGCTCTATAGAACTACTTGTCATTCTTCAATAAATATCTCATCTAATGTTTCACTTGTTGCAGATAAGGCTGACAAAGAGATGGTAGAAAGGGCGTGTCACCTGGTGCCCATCTCCGGAGAGTACACCTGCACTAGGATTGGTGACACCACCACTGTGACCTGTACAACCTGCAAAGCTGACCTTTGCAACTCAGCCCAGAAAGTCAACTTCAATATTGTGGCAATTTCTGGAGTAATCTGCAGTTTCCTTCTCACGAAGCTGTTTTTGTGAAATTATGGTGATACCTTTATAATTTAGGTCCTAAGTTAGGTTTATGTGTAAATTTATTGAATTGTTAATGTTCTACTTATAATTATTTGATATTTGGTTTTTCTGTTCAAATATACATCCCATTTATATAGTTTAATTAAATTGTTGTTAAACTAAAATAAGTTCGTTTACTACTTATAGTTAATTTGTATTTTGTTTTTTTTTCAAATATACATCCCATTTATATAGTTTAATTAAATTGTTGTTACTCTAAAATACGTACATTTATTAATTGTGACAAGACGAATCCAGTCATCAAAACCTGAGAAAGTAACCGCTTTTGTAAGGCAAATTTAAACGAGAATAGATTTCCAAATAACTGAAATACTAGTTATTTTGAACAAATATCGAAATATAACTGTAAAATGTAGATATTCAGTTGTAATGTGCATGTAAGTTTTCTATCGATGCAGAATTTTGCCCCAGGGATGACACAATTTCTGAAAACCCAAAAGACAAAGATTCCACTCTAGTCTATATCTATTATTATACTACTGGTGGCGGCATGTAAACATTTCTTCTCGTTTTTCTATCGCTCTTCTTTTATAAAAGCAATGCTCTTACCAAACACTGATTGATTGAATCATTACTGAAATGCTCCTCCCCTCACATTTCAAATCCGTGTTGGGTCTCGAACACCACGAACGTGCATTTTTAAGAAGTACTAGTAGTGGCCTAGGTATTCTTAAAAGTCGATACCTCGCGGAAAACATATCAGCTAAGGTGGGTGATCACACTCTTTGTAACGCGAGTTATTGAAAAGTTGATTTGTTGGCTTCGGTTGTAGACGCTAAAACTATAATGCGAGCTAACAGCATACGTACGTTTCCCAGTAAATAAACAATTATTTCCTCTGAAATAAACTATTACTTTATTTTCATTTTAGGTAATGTATCGGTAGTGTTCCTAGGAAAGTCAACGGCTACTTGTGAGGCCGATCAAAAAATTGACAGGTGGCCTTGCTAGGGCGAAGTGCCTTATTAGGAATATTTGAGAATCTCGAAAGTTTTTACTTGTAGGGGAAAGTGGGGTGTACTGGTTTTATTAATCTGTCTAGAGGGTGGCAGCGGTCGTCGGAACATTAGTGGTTAGAAGATGTTTACCTCGGGAGGGGGGTTACGGCTATGAAAAATTAAAGAGCGGGGGAGAGGGGTGGCAGCTACATGCTTAAGTACGTAACTAGCGCTTCTGAGAGCAAATGCCCATGTAACAATTAGTGACAATTTAAGAACGGGAGTAGGATACATCTAGGCGGGTCTCATGTTTCACGACCCAGTCCTAGCAAGGTAATTTTCACACCATGTGCGTAATTTGTATGTAGTTGAAGTCATATAGGCAGCTATTTTTATTACAAAGTTAGTTTTAAGTCATTCACTATATCGGCTTTGTATGGAGCTTTGTAACTGCAACGCCTTTTAAAAGAGCTTAATAAAACTTGAATTCAATGAAGTAATGAATAACTCTACAACTCTTGCAATAAAGATTGCCTTATAAATTACGGATTTTGGCAGCAGCGGTAGCCGCGGCAGTAGACTCTTCGGTCTCCTGATCAGTCTCTTGGCTATGGATGTTGTGATTGTCCGCAGGAGGTAGACGGTCTCTGACTGTCGAACGCGGAGGTACCACCCGGCGGATCTCGTAGGTGGGGCAGAATGTGTGCATGTTGCATGGACACGTGTTCCCTCGCCAGAGTCCGTGTGGCGTTCCCCCTTTCCCCTGTATCTCCCTTTAGCCCCTCGGTACCCCATGGGTGATTAGGCCTTCGTGGTGGTTGGAGTTTAAAAAACATAATAAAACAAAGTATTAATAAATTGTTTCATTCATATATTAAATAAAGGAATAACTGCTAATTTGTTACACAGGCACTCCTTGGTTCACCAACCTTACCTTTCTGTGAGAAACTGACATCGTACTTCCTTTTTCAGACTTGGATTTAGCTTTTCTAAGTTTCGGATGGTGTATTTAATTCCAGATAACCAGTGAGACAATTATTATGACATTTACCCCAGTTACAAGTATGATGTTCACAAACGGATCGGTAACCAACTGTTTAAAGGGTCTGATGGACGTCTGAATGTAAACATCAGCACTCACACCAAGTTTTCCCGTTCGAGTCGCGTCTCAGATTTCGTATCAATCTATGTGACTGCCTGTCTACCACACACCAACGGGAAAATTACCTATGAGTGGTGATTTTGAGTTTCAGACCTTGGACTGCCTGTCTACGATCCCATCAATAACTGCGTGTTCTTATTGAGTTGGTGTTTTTCTTTCAACCATGCCTTTCTTCCTTCTTGATTCCCTTATAGAGCAGGACAATCGAAGACACCATGCTTTGCAGTTTCCTCTTCTTCGGTTATCTCTTATTTCATATAGGAGTGCTCTGAATAACTAATTGTTTGCCAATGTCCAGTCTTTGTAATTCTACCCTGCTCAGTTTTGGAGCTTCTGCTGTGTTGGGTCTTATAAGCTTCCCGTTGTGATGACAACTATTTTCCGCTACTTTCCCACTTTCCCGTTCATTTGAGATCAATCGAGAGAGAGAGAGTGAGAGAGTAGCCCGTGCAAGGTTGTATGGAAGGACATACGCTGATTCCTGTCCTATATGGCAGATATCAGTTCGTTTCTGGGCACTCTCGTCAGCTACCTCATTACCCATTATTCCCATGACTTGGCACAGTTAATTACTATATTGGTTTTAACTAGTGTCGAAGTCAGTAAGATTCAAAAATTAGATCATTACCAGATTAGTCAGCGTCACAGCACGTAATGGCAAATTGATGAATAAGTAATTCACTGAGTTCCAAAGGCGAAGCAACAATTAGGCAGTTACATCCAGTCTTGTGGATTAAAAGCATTCATCTACAAATCGTTTATTGTAAGTACAATTACATATGTATCGAAATTATGGACAATTACGAGGAAATAGAAGCAGAAAATAGATGCAATAGAGATGTCATATTGGCGATGATGCTGCCAGCATACCATTTTAGACAGAGTTCCGAACGAGGAAATATGACGAAAAATGGAAATGGCAACCTCACTGGTAGACATCATAGAACTGAAGCAATTGCTCTGTGTTTTTTTACTCCGAAGCACCCGGTCAAGCAGAGGCCTAAATGCCAGGGTACCGCGGATGCCATTAGGAGCTTAAACAAACTTTGAAAATCCGATTATTGAACTGCCCACGGTTAATAGTACTGAGAAAAGCCTCCTTATGTAGATTGGTCCACAATCTCAACACCTTAGGTACAAAGGAGCGGCCGCATGGGCCAGTTCTGCAGGTACGAAGTTCGACACGATTAGGATGGGAGGCTGAAGTCAAGCGGGTCTATCTGGCAGACACATCGTGCTACGGTATCATGGAGGAGACCTCTGAGGAGCAAAGCGTGTTGACGTAGCGATAGGAGAGAGGTAGATTGCCGAAGGCTCGCCGTGATACTGTCCGTTAGAGAAGAGTCATCGATCAGTTAATGGAAAGCATCCATGCGGAGAAGCGCTAGGATATTCTTGTTCGTCAAGGTACAGTGCTGTGTTTTGGAAGCATTAAACTGTACAAGACTTCTGCGTCCCCAAGCAATGATGACCTTAGTTTGGTCACAAGCCATGAATGCCACATGAGAGGTTGCCACTAAAAGTTTGGGAGTATCAACCGCGTCGCAGAAGGAGAAAAACGGAAGACCCCGCAGAACATGGAATAAAGAAATATTAGAAGCCATGGAAGAGACCTAAATAAAGATTATATTAATGATAGAAATAAATAGCGATTGTGATGTGAAAAACAGCGGTAATACTGTAAAAATGCCGCTAGGATAATAATAACTGAATTCCATAGCTTTACTAATCACTCAGAAGTCTAAGAGGTCATTTGTTATTTATTGTGACAGTCTTAGAAAATTTTCTGGAACTCACGGATTAAATTGGAGGTGAGAGTATTGATATTGAACATTAGCATATTGATCAAGGATTTATTGATAGCCTTTGAGCAAAATTCTCAATCAACGGCGGATCAAGAGGGGTCATGATGATACCCCTCAATACTGGGCGAGGCGTATCGAGATCGACCAGCAAATGCTGCCAACCTTCCCCCCCTCTCCCGTCGTTATTAGCACTGACGCTGCCGAGCAAATTTTCATTCGCCGTGACTCAGGGTGCATAAAACTCTGAAGCCGGCTCTGATTGTAACGTACTTCTGCCCAAGTAACCACCAACAATTTCAGGGGCGCATGTGAGCTGCACCAAAAACGCAACGTTATCCTGAGGGATAAGAATTAACGGTACAGGTGAGGCTTATGACCCGCCGCTGATTTAGATGAGCGTCTGGACCTCTATTAACCGTCAGCATTAACACCGATTTTATGAACTTCAAGCTTTGCCTTAGATACATTTTTCTCGTAAATATACAGAAATCATTCATATGTATATGAGTAAGTTGCTCAGGTTCCTGTAAATTTGATCACACTGAAACACCAGGAATGAAAAATTAGGTGCCAGCACAGAACTATACTATGTACTACCGTACTGCTATAAGTTGTTATTTAAAACTAAATAAATAGTTTTTGGCTTTTAAATAAGTATCCACAAAGTCCCTGATGTTCATATTATTGGATCTAGCCTCCACTTCTGTCAAAACTGGTGGCGTAAAATTCAAGAATTAGAGTTGAGAAGAGAATATAGAAACAAAAATTATTCTAGTGTAAGAAGCTACTTAGGATTATTTTTTTGCATTATGTTTTCACATCCAGTAGATGTGATTGATGTGTTTAACAATGCAGTAAAATATACATATTTCAATTATATCAGACGGAGCAGTATATTTTCACCACCCGTTTTGGCTACTAACTAGTAATACTAATAATCGTCTACAAATCTACATAGCTGCATGCGGAATCGTTCCATGATCCTAAGTGTGCGTCCATATTGCGAGCCTAGCGCGGTTGCGACGACGGGCGCGAAGTATGGTTCGAATGCTCTTAGAATATGACCGCTACGTCATCGTGGGCGGGTCCGATCATCACGCGGTCGTCGACAGAGCGCAGTGGCGTTCTATTTTATTTGAAGAATAAAATAAAGTGAATAGGTTGTGTAGACATTGATCATTAATTGATTTTTGTATTATTATATTTATTTAGTATGCGCATTAAGTTGTTCGGAAGCAAATTTGAATTAGAAGAGGGAGCAAACTAAAGACGGTTATAATTCAAATTATATATTATCATTAAAAAATCTAATCGCTATCAGATGATAGTGTGTTTAGCTACAAATCTTCATCTGAGTCGCTTTCGTCACTATCTTCTGATGATGACCCTGTGTTCACATTGAATTGATACGTATCCATTTGATCGTCGAGAAGATGTTCTTTTTCCATTTGTGCTTGCTCATATTTTTTCACGTGGTTACAAATTTTCTTCCACTCATCTGCTCCAATTTCTTCAAACCTGCTACGGGTCAGATGCTCCACATCAGACAACCTAAATGTCACATTTCGTGGAGCAACCCAGTTTTTTACGAGAGCCCAAATCTTCTCGATTGGGTTTAGCTCGGGATGATATGGAGGCAGTCGTAAAACTTTATGCCCGTGCTGTTCCATTAACGCATCTAGCTTGTATTTGACTGGAAATCTTCTTTTATTTTCCTGTATTTTTTTATATAGTTCGGCCTTAGTCAATGAGTTTTCACTAGGAATTTGATGTTTTTCTAGCCAGTCAATCATCTCTGATTTCAGGCTAGAAGACGTTACATTTTTTTCTTCCAGGACATTGTGATAAGAAGAATATCAACAAGGCGTTAGGAATAAAGCCGAATTCTCCACCAGCATGCACAATAATCATTCGTTGTCCTTTTGATAAAGGCGTTTTTAGTTCCTTGTCATAATTGTCATCTGACCATCCTTTTTTTGGGGTATGACTAGAATGTATATATGTTTCATCCGTATAAATTATGTTCCTGTTCTCAGCTCATATTTCATAATTTGCTTCAGATATTCGATAGCTTCAAGCGAATTTCATATTTTTCCATGAGAGCTCTTTTATTATCAGTAGTTCTTTTCCATCTGTAGATATAAATTATATTTATTGCGTTGTAAATCGAAAACCTTATAATGTGTATGAATACTGACCTAAAGCCCATTTGTTTCAAAAGTTTGTTCAAAGTCGTTATTTTACCCTCAAAATTAAGGTGTCGATCTTGCATTTTTTGGTAAATACCTAAAAAATCTTAAAATGAAATATGACTAGATGCTACGGTTACAATTTAAAAACTTACATTTCAGCGAAGGTCTTCTTTTCTCCAAAATATAAAAATCGTATATGATTGCTTTCATTTCTTCAATTTGGCCTGCAGTTACTTTATCCACAACAGGTGATTTTCGTTGCCGCTTTTTAGATGGGGATGAAAATGAAAAGTTGCTTGAATATATTCCATCTCTGCTCTCTTTAGCTATTTTTTGA